TTCTTCTCTTCTTCTCTCTCTCTCTCTCTCTCTCTCTCTCTCTCTCTCTCTCTCTCTCTCTCTCTCTCTCTCTCTCTCTCTCTCTTTAATATCCGGCGACGCGGCGATCTCGGATTCGAATCGATTTTTCGTGACTGACGAGGTTTCCCTCCGTGGATTTTCCCGCGTGCGTATTCCCGGAACCGGTCGGCGAAATCTTTGGAACGGCACGCGGCACCGCCGTTTTCCGACTGACAGACGAAGGAGAAAGGATCCACGCTGAAACGCCTGTGCACGCGGCCGTGACACGCTGTTTGACAGAAATCGCCGTCGCTCAGCTGAGCTAGTATCGAACCGGCGAGTGTACATAATTCACGCAAGACGCACAACTAATCCTTAACCCGCAATTTCTTCACTATGAAAAAAATGAGTCGAGCCCGTTGAGTGGATGGGACGTCTTTTGTCCCCACATAAATTTTGTCTTGCGTCATGCACTTATTAAGGAGAAAGTTAGGCTCGAAAGAGTAATATAAATAGAAGAAAATAAACCAAGGAAGAAAGAGAACCTGTGCTGAATAACTCTAGGGTTGAAGGCACTTGATTACTTCTCACTCGGAGAGATCACAAAAAAAAATAGAAGAAACTGGAATTTCTATTTAGGAATTAATTCGATATCATCTATTCGACATAATTATTAAATTAATTATTTAATTTGACGTTGTACTGGGAGAAGATTACAATTTTCGAACGTAGAGTCGTGTATTTTGTAATGTAATATGTTTATGTTTATGTTTTTATTTTTATAAATTTTATACTTTAATTTTATTTAAATTTTGATTCTATGAATGACTTAATTTCAAATAATTCTTTATTTAATTATACAACGATATGTATTCTATATAAAAAAGATTGATCTAAGCTGCACTAAGAGAAAACATTTTTACAACATAAAAAAGTAGTGTAATATATATATATATATATATATATATATATATATATATATATATATATTTATATATACCAACTGCGAGGCGGCAGCGAAGCGAGAAGCTGAATAGAGCTGGTAGCAACAGCGTCGTTAGCGAAAGACGAAAAGATCCGTCTTGACCTTGGGACTCCGGGTTCCGCATTGCTGGGTCGGCTGGTAGGGTCCCCGAAGAAGTCGCAGAAGGAGGCAGCAGTATAGTTGCTGCCAGCGGCAAACCTCATGGACTTACGGGTAACGGCCGACCTTCAACTTGACCGCTCGACTTGAGCGCCCTTCTCCTTCGCTTACGTGTGACCGCTCGCGGAACGCTCGCGTATAATTTTAGAAGCACGCGGGGTCCTTGACACCTCGTCGCGAGACGACGGGCGGCAACCATTGACAACCGCGGACACTGCCGCGGACACCCCTCCCCGTGTCCATTGACTCGCGTCGTACGTTCGTGGTGAAATTTCATGCAGGATCGATTTCTAATCTCAGTTCGTTCTTTTCCCTTCAACTCAAATCGCGCCGGTCGCGACCGTCTGATTTTAAGAACATCGAGCGAATCTATTTCATTTTTAAAACAAAATAGAAATAGAAATTATATTCTCAAAATTTGACGGTCTATCCTTTCAGGAATACCTAATGTAGACCATTGCAATAATTTATTTTCTCTCTCTCTCTCTCTCTCTCTCTCTCTTCATATAAAAATTATATTTATTCCCCAAAAAAAGTCTAATAAGATGATAAATAAGAAGTTAATTCGTTTTTATGTTAGAAATTGTTAAACAATCTCTTATTTTTCTACGTGAAAAAAAAAACGATTTTGCTGAAATAAAATATAAAAATTTGGCCAGATATAGGAAAATAATTTTATTAGATTATCAAAATAATTATGTAAAACATTTAAACATGATGATAATACTGCAAAAATTTTGAATCTAGTATATAATTTTAATAATTAATTTGAATGTCCTATTACAATTATTCTAAATTTAGCAAAATTATTTTCAAATCTGTATTTGATCAAATTTTTAGATAACTTTAACAAAACTGTTTTTTCTATATATCTTTACTCTGAGAGATGTTTCATCTTCTCTATAGAATTTTTCTTCAAATTTTTCAATTTCTTTATCTTTATCTTAAGATTATTTTATCTTTATCTTAAGATTATTTTATCTTTATCTTAAGATTTTAAGAAAATATTTTTACGATCAACAAATTTTTGTAGATCACTCCGGATGTCCTAATGAACACCAAAGAAGAGGATTGGGGCAATGTTGTGTGCCAAAGGGACAGTGTGATCCTAAGAGATCGCCTAATGACAGATGCAGCTCTCGGAGGACCACGACCAATAAAATCCGAGCATAGTTACAGTCTTTTGGTTCCCAGTCCCCCGCCGAGTCCGACAACGCCTGAAGATAATCCTCATATTCCCAATTCGTGTTCTGGTGCAGTTGGTTCTACCGCAGTGACTACTAGTTCCTCCATCGATTTCGCCAATCTGGATCATAAATCTCTCGATATGCGCAGCAGAATTGACGGTAAGAAAAAAATACAGAATGTGATCTTTATCCTTTTGAGAAAAATAAATATTTTTATCGTATTCCTGGCCTATAGCATTTCCCAAATTATCGAGGAAATTTGCTTCAGATATGGAAGAGGAATGTTTTCCGGCTATTTCGATAAGCAGCACCTCGAACCGTATCGAATCGTCGTCGTCGTCGCCGTTGACGGCGTCCTCTACCTCGTGCGTAATTCTCAAGAGGGACAACTTAGTACCTGAAGATAACGAGTGTCCTGAAATCAAGGGCGAACCTATCAGCGCGCCGGCAAGTCCCTGCGCGCCTTGTCAGCCGAGTTGCGATATGATGGACGATAAGAGCACGATAACAATGGTGTCGACACAGAGTCTTCATTTTGCCAAAACCCAACTCTCGCATACGAGTGACAGTGAGGAGGACGACGAGGAGTACTATCAGGTATCTAAACTGGAATCAATATTGTGCCGTTCACAAATCGTTCTCGAACGATAAAATACCCCAATATTAAGTTGTCTTACTCATTTCACGTTATCTATATCCATCCTAACAATTGAAAAATACTCGTGGAAAAAGATATATATAGACAATAGTTAAATATAGACTCAATTTAAGTGAGAATTAGAAGTAAGTAAAAAAACTAAATGACATTTATTATATAACAGAAGAATAGAGAATTTATTATATAACAAAGAATAGAGAAGGCAACTGCTCGGCGTACTTAATCTTAGGAGGCTGATGATTTATACATATAAATTCGAAATTAATTGCACTTATATCGCAAACTACGTGCTATTTTAGTTTTAATAAAATATTATATTCTAACTACCATATCATTATCGAAATTAATTGATTCTATTAGTTTATCATCATCGTTATTATCATCGTTACTATCGCTTGTTTTCAGAGTATGGAGATTGAGGAGTACGGCGTAGCCTGCGAAGGGAAGGAAGCGACCTTGCGTGCGTCGAGACAGGGTTTGCCGCCCACGCCGCCCAGCAGCGCAAGCTCCGACAGCGAGGGTACCGCTTCCGCTTCCTGTTCGCCGGAACGCCGAGATTCCCAAACGTGTACGCAGAATCTCAGAGGTTTGCTGGGGCCGAGGCTTTACGTCACCAACGGCACTCACACCACCAGGCAACCCATTCATACGCATCTGATTTCCTCTCAGCCGGTAAGACACACTCTGAAGAATTGAACGCCAACGACTTTTAGTGAATTATGATTAAACGAGTTGAATGATAAGTAAATGGCACAGAATTAAAATGAGAAATCTTGGAAAAGAAAATCTTGGGAAAAATTTATCTTCAATCTTCACGGTTGCGTGAAAAAAATCCCATTATACTTTTGCTATCAATATGGAAATGTTTTACGTAGAACCTATAAATACTTTGCGCTTAAAAAAGTCAGTGATCTATAAATAACGCAATTCTTATCCTTGATATCCTTAGCTTTATTTGTTAAACGTCTTAATAAATAAAGTCGCCTTAACTTTATTTGTTAAACAATTTTATTAAATAATTTTACGAATATTTTTTTAATATTCTAAATTATGATGTATATCCCCTGCTTTTGTTTATTCTCGCGATCTATATCTTTTATCAACCTACGCAATCGCATTACGGTCAGCAATGACTAACAAACTTAAAATTTCTTTTATGGATGAGTTCCATATTATACGTTTTATTCGCTCTTCTCTCCTATTTTTATTCTTGCCTCTGCAAAAGAATGATCCATTATTGCTGTCATATCTATTGATTTAGTATATTAGCGTGATGCACTTATATACGATTGACATTACAGAAAGGATCTACCGGAGTGTTGACATTGACGGAGGAAGAGAAGAGAACTTTGATAGCCGAAGGATATCCTGTGCCCACAAAGCTTCCTCTGACGAAACAAGAGGAGAAATCTCTGAAGAAAATACGAAGGAAAATCAAGAATAAGGTAAAATAGCATTAATATACTTTTAAATATTTAAATATTAACAAAAAAAGATTCTTGATATTAATAATGTACAATAATAAGGCTAATGAGAATCAGCGCTGTAAAAACGGTACGCAAATTATATGTTTAATTTTAACTACATTTATTAATAGAAAGTTCCAAACGTTTCGACTCGAGTTTGAGTTAGTGGTACAAAAATAGTTAATTATACTTAGTAATACTTAGTAATTAATAATTTCTTTTAGTCAACTGACGTGAGTGACATGCTATCATTATTTTTTATGATTGAGCTCACCGATTGGCCTAAGAAATATCCTCATTATATTTTTGTACTACTGAAAATGACTCAAACACGAGTGGAAATGTTTGGAACTTTCTGTTAATAACTATAGTTAAAATTAAATATACAGTTTGTACATTGTTTACAGCGCTGATTCTCATTAGCTTTATTATTATATATTATTTTCAATATTTGTTAACTAAATGTTAACTAAGCAACTGCAAAATTATAAATGTGACATAAAAAAATATTAATTTTTATATGTGATATACTTTTTACAGATATCGGCGCAAGAATCGCGAAGAAAGAAGAAGGAATATATGGACAATTTAGAAAGAAAAGTCACTATATTGACAAATGAAAATTCTTCATACAGGGATAAAGTAATATCTCTAGAAGACGCAAATCGCGAACTAATAAAAGAATTGCATCGTCTTCAGACTTTGCTGCAGCTACAACATTCTTCTTAGATTTATTGGCTAATGTCTAATGTAGCTCAAATTTATTTGAATCTATTCATGAAATTTTATCTTTGAAAGATTTAACAAAGCTGTCCAAAAATAAATTTTCGATCTGATGTATCTTTGCGATAATGTCAATGAGCGTCTATTTAATCAGCTCACACTGTTGCGATGATTGAAAATTATAAAATCGTGAAAAAGATTTTAAATTTTCATATCTTTTACAGATGATATAAAAATTTATCTATATTTGTCAAATTGCTCTTCCATATATAAATATTAATCTTTATAATGTTGATGAGATGAATATAAAAATGATGTTTTTATCGCTAAGTCACAGATCAAAGTTAAAAAGAGAAAATATTTTTTTAGGGATTAGTGCAATTTTTTTCCTTACATTCCAAAAATGTCTTCCTCGGATACAAAACGCGACGAAGTGTGCAGCGTTTGAAGTATCACAATTGAAGATTTATAAATGATATTTTAAACGCTGCAAACTATTTCAATAATTTTCAATAATTTAAGATATACCAATATAGATAGTATATTCTTCGCTAAATCGACATATTTTCGCCAGGAGTGCCTTCATGGGTTTATTTCCATATTTCTTCCAGCCTTGTCGGAGGATGTATAGCTAATTTATAATATTTCTCGCGATTATATGATTAAGCTTTTTTAATTTCAATAAAACAGAAAAAGAATATCAGATTCCATTTGCGATATTTGCATGTTGCGAAAAATGATTGTTGGCTGCCAAAATCAATGCAACGAGGAGTTTTGAAAAAAAACGCCGAAAATGTAAACAGCCTTTGGATTATTCCTTATATTTATGCCCCAAAGATGGTGACGATGTTTTGGAACCGTTTGGGACCGAAGAAATATACCTTTGATAATACCATAATAACATATATATCTATACTATAATCCACTTTGACGCAATTTTGTCAATGGATTCGTCTATATAAAAAAAAATATAATATATGACATATTTTATAGATAAGATAAGAGAATGAAAGTATGATTATTATTATTGTGTAGAAAAGTGTGATGTAAAAATAGATCCGATGCAATCGACCAAGTTATTCCATTTATATTTTATCAAGAAAATATTCAGTTATATAATATGATAAATAAGATTATTGTACAGATTGACTTGAAGAAAATGATTATGTTGAATTAAAGGTATGCTATTTTTTTTAAGACGCAATCACTAACACTAAAACAGGTGTTGGAATAAGTGGTTCTAAGATTATTGATCACCTGCAACGATGATTATTTATTTTGTGTTTAATTCGAAGCGACAGAAGCATTTGTAAAATATAAGTTTAGTAAAATGTAAGATATATTTTGCTCGTTAAGAAACATCTACAATTACGTTTGAAAGCCTATAGAAATCGATTATTTGAATGGTGACCGAGTTAGCTTTATCACATAAATATGAAGATGTTCAAGAAAATTATGTAGGACGATTTCTTGATATTTTCAAATGTGAAGCTGAATTACTTGTGATGTAAAAAGTACTTTGACCGAGTTAATTAAACCGTCACCACATCCCAACCAACATTGCAATTTTTAAAAATAATTTTTTTTGTAATTTTCTTTCATAATTAGTGTAAGATCGCGCGGAAAGTATTGTCACACGATAATGGCAGATCTCGCGGCTACTTACCACATGAAAGTCGTGGAAAGGGACCAATGCGTGCAAGATGAGAAGACTTTTTCTTCTTCTTCTCCTCTCTCTCCCTTTCCTTTTGCTTCACGTAATTGCCAAATAAATAGAATTTAGTGTCGTCCAAGAGACAATATTTGTATTAAATGGTCACACATACCTCGCATGTCTAAAAAACGAATCGCGCGGCTACTCTTGCATTAATATTTTATCACTTACATGCAATATATATATTTGACCGACATGATCTTATGATCGTATGAAATGTATGATAATGCGTAAAATGCGTATGTATATAGGATGGCTATGTATAAGGAATCTTTATCTACTTGTCATTTTTGAGAAATTTACATACATATCACGTTTAATTGGTGAAAGTAAATTATTAAATACTTTCAGCCACAGAATCGTTTTGATAAATTAAACTCGACTTCAAATTCATTAAAGAATGAATTCTCCATTGCTAATTTTCGCATTTCCTAAATCATATACCTAAATCACTATATACATACGCATAGTAATGAGTAGCTCTTACAAAACGAAAAGATAGAATGTCAGAATTATTTTAAATTATTTTTTAAAGGCCTTAGATAATTTGATAAAGAGATCTGCTGAAGATATGTTGTCGAGAAGAAGTCAATGAATAAGTCAATAATCGTAACAAATGATAGTAATCGATTAACGTAAATCTGGATGTAAAGACACTTCCAATGTATTCCGCAGACTTCACGAGCGCTGATCGCCCAAGAACTTTTATCTTTTTGTCTGCGTATATACATAAAAATATATGCATATGTTTTTAATTACCACATGCACATTCGCGCATGATAATTATATATTTGTACAAAGCAGCAGAGCAACGATTTTTACCGAAAACAGAGAGTTTAATATATTCTATGAGAATTCTATATATATATTTTACAATAAATTACATAAACGTTCGACAATGAAGGAAGTCGCACAGTTATCTATTAGGATATATAAATTTATCGCTATTACCATTCTCATTATCATGATGTATCATTTATTTCTCATGTACGCGATACCAGCGTTATGCATCTCAGTACTTGGCGTCTATATTTATCCAGAGAGAAAAAGAGAGAGTCCCTATATAAATATTAATAAAGATAACATAAATATAAATATATATTCTATTCGACATGCGTCGAATTTACGTGTGCGTGTAATGTGTCAATGTAAAACGCAGCATCATGTCGTCAATGTAACATGCGGTGCTGCAAACACTTCGAATGGATGTTATTCGACAATAAGAAATAAATACTTGTGAACTAACATCAAACATCTTAAATTATATATTCGCACATTTTATACATTATGCAACTGAAATCATTTCTTTCTTATAAAAAGTAAGTAGATCTTTATTTTCGCCATTGAAGATTTTATTAAACAGAAAAGGTTTGTCGTTTTACAAAATATCATCATTTACGAAAGCATTTTCTGAGATAACTGAGATCATAAAATTCAATATAATATATAAACATAAATTTAATAATCATGACGTACGTTTTTATTTGTCTTATTCTTATTCCTCGGTATCCAGCTCCTCATTTTCCAATTGATCTTCTATCTTACCCTTTAGAGTGGTGAGGCTGAGGGGCGCGTCTATGTCAAGAATCTTATGTTCTTCCGCTTTGTCCCTCTTGGACCTGTATAAGGGATTTTCGAATCTGCCACCCGCGACTTGCCTCATCCCGTCGACGTCATCGCCGGCCTCTCCACCGCTCATTCCGGGAACGTCCGCAATCTGAACGTTGCCCTCGGGAACGTTCTCGAAACGAGCGAAACCGTGTTTCTGCTTGTCCGCCCGAATTCCATCTCGGATGGATGAAACGGCTTCCATACATCCCGAGAGAATGCTGCAAGAATTACATTCCGTCTCAGAAAGACCGATGAACATCCGATGCACCGCACAAATACTCTCCCAGGAAATTTAAGCTAGAATTAATACAAACGTGTTTTCAATATGGAACAAGAAGATATTTTAGAACGCACACAGAAAGGAAGCCGTAAAAGTAAAGTAAAAGCGGTTGGTAAACGGTCGGACTGAGTTAATAATTGCAATGCCATGTATCTTATTTCGAAGAGAGAGACGTCTTACGTAAATATAAAAAAAACCGTGTCATAGCGTGTCGCATAAAACAAGTGAGAGTTTGAGGCTGAAAGGCTTCGGTCCTCAAAGAGGACGTATCTGCCGAGAAAATTATACGGCGGCCAATTCCATTCGATTTGACGCCTGCTGAGAGCAATAATAAACCAACTCGGTTAGCCTGCCGAGGGAGGCGAGTTAATTAAATGTTAGGGGGGAGGGGGGGGGGTAAGGGTGGAACAACTCCTCGAGTCACGGATACAGCATGGGTGAAGAAATTAGCCGAGAAACGTAAAACCATAAAACGGGAGTTAGTTCGCCGCTTGCTAAACTGCCGTTATTCTGTCGCTACTTCGCAAATTAAAATACTGTATTGCGCCCACTCGCTCTCCGTTCCAATTGCATCCCTTCCCTTCCTGTGTTAAGCTCCTACCAATTTGCTACCCTTTCCACCTCCCTCTCTCTCTCTCTCTCTCTCTCTCTCTCT